TCTACGTGGATTCCATTCACAGGAAAGATTTAGGATATGGTGTAATGGATTCATTGAAACTATACCCTCAATTATAGTATTGCCTGAGAGATATCAGGGGTGTGACTATGTTACACTATGACTATTTCAATGTTATTTTTATCTCTCACATATTTATTGATGGAAATCACAAAGGAGATTCAATGGGTTGAAAAAAAAAAATCGGTGCAAATAAGAGAAGACTGTAACTAATGAAATATTAAACACTAAACAGCTGGACTAAAAGTACTAGAACGGGCTTTGCGTGAACGTTATATGCGCATTCCGTCCGTGGAAAGAGGAAATTATTACAAACAAGCAGCTGTGCTCTAGCCAACTGCCTATATGTTAAGGTTCAGGGCAACCTATCAATATAAAATCAAAGAAGATTTTCTTCGAAAAATATCTCAATATGAATTGCATTTGTTTGAATCTTTCATTTCAGTTATCAACAGCCAAATAACAAAATTTGAAACTTTGTTTTTTCAAATAATGCAACTTCACGGAGCTGTTACTCCTAACATATGTGTCCTACCAACATTTTTTACATAAATGTAGGAAATACCGTCCTATGTAACTGCATCTTTTGCCGTGAAACCCACAGCTCTTGAGTTATTATCAAAAACACAAGTGCTTGTACCTAAAATCCAAGATGGCGGCTAGAGCGCATGCGCCTCAAAGTCGAAAACTTGGATTTATCACAAGGGCCCCAACGAACTAAAAAAATCGTTACTACCCCACCTTTTGTTTTCAAACACGCCTATTCGATATACTTGCTTATTGGACTATTGGACGTATTTGAAGTTCTAAGAGTGACAATGGTCTGGAAGTTTGTTTACAGAGGTTATCGATTGGGTCATATTATGTACTGAAAATAGTTTCGAATACTTTCAGAGAAGATATGTCATAACATGACATTACGTGTTGAAAAAATTTGAAACCGTTTGCATTAATGAATATTTTTTGTTTATTTAGACATGTAGTTTGAACTGACGGAACTTTTCAACTCCTCACTTTTGGTAACTAGTTGCCTATAATGAAATATTACATAACTGGGGATGAAATGTTCATTCTAATACCGGTTACGTGCGATAAAAATATGGATGGGCGAAGAGAATAGTATATTTTTTGCTGCTTCCTCGATATCACTTGAGAAATTTGAACCCGAATCAGCTTTTTTCTACTGTTGGAGATATCAAACAAGTCCATCTCGTGAGTTTCTATGCTAATTTTCGACGATATGTTCGATGGATACTTCAGAGTGACGGGCGAAGTCAACTGGCCTACAAAATGTTGTACATAATCGGTAGAACTCATGTAGGACTAGTGATTATTCCTGTTCAAGCTGAATTTTGCTTAAAAATTAGGAAAGATGTTGTACGTAACACGTCAGAAAACGCATTTTGTGTAGGTTATCAACGGCTACTATTGAAAGTAGTCAAGAACACACGAAGTACAGCCTCAGTAAGTAGCTGAGCAGTATATACTATCAAGAATGATAATTCAGACTGTTGGTCCAAAACTTTTTAGAAGAACTATCTGGCACTCTAGGTTAAGTATAGTACGTAATGCGTGTTGTGAAGCAATTACGCGATTTTCCATTCGTGCGTAATATTATGCAACCTACAACAAATTACGTAATATTCTATCACTTGTACATAACATCTGACTGAAATTATTGAGTCAATAGATGATAATAATTAAGGTCGTTCTGGAGAATGACCCATATAGGTTTTTTCCTCAGCTTTTTACTATATATAGAAAACAACTGAATATCTCCGAATACTAATTAAAATAAGAATAATAATGTTTCTATGGAAAAAGAAACGCTAATATAAAGTGCTCAAAGAAACAAGTGGACCACTGAAATTTTCGACAATTTTCAAACTGCCATAACTTTTTGGAAAATGAATGGATTTTCAATCGGAATGCAGTGTTTGGAAGATGCGATCTTTCTGTTCAAGATTCATTGTTCAAAACTCGTCGGGATTTTTCTGGTATTATACACCAAGTGTTCGAAAAAAGTATTACTAAAATGAGAGAATTCAAACGCTCCCGTATTACAGGGAATTTTTATTATTTTTCTTTCAATCATTTTTTTCGAACGTTCAAGCCAATATCTCGAAACAGTTTTGTTATTCTCCATATTCCTCATACAGGATGTTGAAATTCGATAATTTTTCATTTTCAGGTTTTTATTACATCATTTCCGATTTTAAAATTATGCAAGCCACATTCAACGTATTTTGCCACTCTATACGATAGAACACATCCTAGAGAATGGATTCATATTGCGTTGAAATCATCGAAGTCAAGGAACCTATTTATCACAAGGTTTTTCATCGCCTAATCGAAAATCAATCGAAAAAGTCGATTTCTTGTAATCAACACTCATTTTCGCAATTATTACCACTGCAACACCCAATATAATGCCTCCTGTCGAACCTTCGACAACTGTCATCATCGGTTCGACAGGAGGCATTATATTGGGTGTTGCAGTGGTATGAATTGCGTAAATGAGTGTTGATTATAAAAAATCGACTTTTTTGATTGATTTTCGATTACGCGATGAAAAACCTTGTGATAAATAGGTTCCTTGACTTCATGTCAGCTCAGGAATTTCTTAAAATCATTGTAGCATCGTTATTGTATGAATTGGTCAGAAATATCTAGAAGGGCCTTCATGCGCCCCCTTGGATTGCCTTATTTGAAAAATCACGAAATCAATTCGGGATACTAAACAGAGCAATCGATCCAAATGAAGGAATTGTGTTTAGCATAGCATATGGTTATGGCAGCACCAAACTGAACAGACGATTTCACCAAATTCTGAACATTTCTCCAAAGAAATCTTCTGTTTAAGTTGTCGATGATTTCAACGCAATATGAATCCATTTTCTAGGATGTGTTCCATCGTATGGAGTGGCAAAATACGTTGAATGTGGCTGGCATAATTTCAAAATCGGAAATGATGTGATAAAAAACTAGAAATGATAAATTATCGATTTTCAACATTCTGTATAAGGAATATGGAAAATCACGTTTCGAGTTATTGTCTTGAACGTTCGGAAAAAACGCTCAATAGGAAAATAAAAAATATTCCCTGGAATTCGGAAGCGTTTGAATTTCTTCATTTTTGTAATACTTTTTTTGAAGACTTGGTGTATAATGACAGAAAAACTTCCGACGAGTTCTGAACGAGGAATCTTGAACAGAAAGATCGCATCTTCCAAGCACTGCATTCCGATTGAAAATCTATTCATTTTTTAAAAAGATATGGCAGTTTGAGAATTGTCAAATATTTCAGTGGTCCACTTGTTTCTTTAAGCACTTTAGTTAAAAAATATGAAATTGCTTGATTTCAAAACTTTAAATACTTGAGGAGGCCCAATAATGAGGAACCTGATTCAATAATGTATTCATCTATATCAATATGTCAATGGAACGTGAAAAATAGTTATTTATTATAAGTATTAGATTTCAGCTCGAGGTCGCGTATATTACAGGTCACCGGACAGATAACTGATTCGTTATATTGTGCAATCATAGATTCAATATAACATTATATTGAAATCTTAAAATTATCGATCGACGTGACATTTGAAGTTCTTAACAGGAATTACACATGCGTTGCAAGCATCTTTTTGCAGGCATCATCTTCATCATTCTTTTAAAGTAATCAAATATCTGTTAGTCTGATTCTGTGATTTGATTTTGATAAATTGCTAACTTCGTAGTTTTTTCGAGGGTTGTTTAGTAATCCAAGTAACCGCGAAGTGGTATGAAAGATAAAATGAATTGCAGATCTTCTTCGGAAACGGTGTTATTGGCTTATTTGGAACTATATCACAACAAGAGCCATCAACAGTGTATATATATGTACAGTGTGTTCCGCTTTCATGAATACACCCTGATATCTCAGTTATCAATGATTTTATCCTCTGGAAATTTAGTGGTCATTGTATGTTATAACAATGAAGTATTTAGCAGAGTGAACAGTTTCATTCACCTTTCGCGTGCAATGTTCAGGAGTACAAAAAAATATATTTTTCAGTAAGGGCCTATTTCAAATAATTGCTTTCATCAGATACAGAATCAGCATCCCCGAAAACCCTTCAATTCATATTTTCAAAATCTCAAGAAAAATTCGAAATCCTGCTTTTCATGACTACGCCCCAAAATCTCAGCTATTAATGATGCGATTTTCTCGAAACTGCGGTTGTGATTGTATGCTATTTTTTAACATACAATCGAAATTGAAATTTCAAGAGAATCGCATCGTTGATAACTGAGTCTTAAGGTTGTTGTCATGAAAAGCGGGATTTTGAAATATTTTATTTTAGCTCTTGGCATCTTGAAAATATGAATAGGGGGCTTCTGGGTATGCTGATCATGAAGTTGTCAAACAAAGTTATTCAAAATGAGTCCTGATATCCTTTGCCGAAATAAATGCCTTTTTGTACCCCTCAACACCGCATGCCAATGATGAATGGAACTGTTCATTCTGCTAAATAATTCCTCATTCTAACTCAAAATCACAACAGAAACTTCAAGAGAATAGCACCATTAATAACTGGGATATCAGGGTGTACTCATGAGAAGCAGGACACACTGTTAAGTGTGTCTTGGATATACTTATATCCTCGAAAAAAGATCTCATTTCTTTACCACGGAAAAAAAAAGATCTATGAGAAAAGGAGTTTTAAAACCTCTCAACAGAGATGAAATGTCAAACTTTTTTTCGTCAAAGGAAAAAAGAAGAAAGTGTAGTATGTTTTCGGAGAGGTTAGGAATCTTGAATCGTCTCAAAAGTGAATTGGAGGTGATATAGTTATGCAGATATGTCTCTAATTATCGACAGGAAATGATAACGTTGGAAGATAGTGGAAGGACTTTACCAGACAATTGTTAGTTGCCAATATTTTGCAATTGTTCATTTTGAACAGTATGATTTCTCAATAATTAGATGAATTATTTTTTAGGTGGATGGCTCCTGAATCACTCTATGACAACATCTTCACCGTGAAGTCTGACGTCTGGAGTTTCGGCGTTCTAATATGGGAAGTGGTGACCTTGGGAAGTACACCGTATCCAGGAATGTCGGCTGTGGAAGTTATGAAGAAGGTTAGTATTCCACTGCTAGTCTCTTCAGGACTTTTGGCCTCAAACTGCATGTACCATCGACTCAAACTCTAGGACGTCTGAGTACGAAGTCCTGCTCTTTTTGTATCACTTAGCACACCTTATAACATCATTGGATTCCAATTTGAGATCCTGCATATATGGGTGTTCCTTGATGATATGCTAATATTCAAGGTGCCGATTTTTCGACCTATTTCAAAAACAGAACTTCATATGAACGTGTGTCGTGAACGTCATAACTTTTGAAATACAGGGTGTCAATGTTGAAAATATGCATAGATTATTTTCTTGTCCACCCTGTATAGCTTTCCGTGATGGCAAAATTGAGTCAGCTATGTGACTGAATCGCAATATAATTTTCAAAATGCTACATAGGTACTGTGTTTATTTATTAATGGATGTCCTTGAATGGAGTACTCAGACATTCGAGGTCTGATCTCGTCTTTCCGTTTTTTCTTAAGAACGAAGCGTTTAATTGAGTATCAACAAGAAGATCTTTTTTGTACATTATTGAATAGTCTCATGACATTGTATAAGATTTGAGAATTTTATGTCGTTGCTCACTGTTAAGTAAAATATAAACAATGATATCTCCGTAACGGTGCCACTGGTAGAGAAAATGGAGCTTTTTGTACATCAGAAAATGCATCTTGTTGCATAAAAGATGTTTACCAAATTTCATGGAGATGTATGCAATATTGTTTCAGTTATTATCAAAAACTGAATATGTTTCAAATAGTGATTCACACGAGACCAACGAGACTTTCATAAAGTCTCGTCTCGTCTCGCCGATGAAATATGAAGTCTTGTCTCGAGTCTCGTCTCGCAGCCTCCAGTCTCGTCTTGTCTCGCGTCTCGTACGAGAGTCTCGCAAATGTATCGCAATTTCGTCATGCATAATCTTGTTCCAGTCTAGTACGGGATATTCACCTTTACCTTCTTTCTAGGTATAATGTAGGAAGACAAAATTACAACAAAAATAACATTATTTATTGAAAAGTAAGTACCTAATAGGTACATACTTACATCATACATCCAAACAAGAAAAAAAACATTTGTTTTTCAACATCGTGCAGATTGATGTTTCCTTATAGTTAACGCAGCACGTGAGACGAATCTTTCCGCCAGGACTGAAGTAACCGGTATGCTTACTCAAACTTAGAATGGGAAATTCAGAAGCATGAATTTTCCACCATTGGAATATATCTGTGTTTCTATTACACTGAGGCACAGAATAATATTTTTGAAGCTCCTGCATCCATACTCCCGTCAAAACAAAGTTATTCTTTATCTTAGACTTTTCAGCACAGAATGACTTATTTATAGATTCAATGTGCGATCTGTCGTTATTGCAGAATTGCCTTTATTTTCCGACGCCATAAGAGATCATGGATTGTGTTTTTTTAAGTATTCATGAATGAAATGTTCTGTCTATCTGTGCTAAATAGACTGAATTATTTCTAAATATGTTGTATAATGAATGAAATTCTCAAGTTTGCAGTCGGCACGCAGAAATATTCACCTGCGAGACTCTCGCACAAGACTCGAGAAGTCTTGCAGGAGACTTGAGACAAGACTAAAAAAAGTCCCGTCTCGTCTTGTCCGAGTCTCGTCTCGAGTCTTGTCTCGAAAACGAGACGAGACCATGCGAGACTCTCGAAAACGAGATTCTCGCGGGCACCACTAGTTTCAAAGTTTCATCGCCCTGTATTTTTACCTGAATAATGATGTATCCAACTGATTAATTGAAACTGATGAGATATGGTATCTTGAAAGTTGAGACTTTGAGGAAATTCGTTCATAAAAAGTTTTTTTCTTAAAATAATAATATGTCAAAGAATCACCACCCCGAATATTAGCGTGTCTTTGAAGAACACCCTGTATATTTAGGACTTGAAATCGGTCTTCGCAATGAGTTGAGTGATGTTTGACTAGTGTGTTCGTTTCTTTAGGGGCATTCAACTATGATGACGTTTCATTTGATTTTCGGTTTGAACGCCTAAACCCTCGAGTCTTGGAAAAAAGTCTATAACTACTATCTTGCCTGGAATGCAGTTCACTTCATTTCATTTCTATTGAAACTCACCCAGACCTGTCGTTTTCTATTTCGAGGAGAAACTTTTCTGAGGGATTTAGGACCAAGCAAATTGCTACCACTAAGGAGAACAAGTTCATCGGATATCACCAACGAAGGGGGCACAATAGATCTTTTAGTTCGCAGTGTATTCGACTCTTATGCGCACAATACTATACTCTTGTGATACATCTTTTTGAAGGGAAATCAATCACAAATACATCAGTGTGATCCGAGTAAGAATCAATAGTGTGTTGTAGAAATGTCATCAAGAGATATTGTTATATTTCATTACCAAGATTGCTATCATATTGCAGGGTTCGAAATGTGAACCATTCATTTCCATAATAGAAGTATGAGCGATTTTTGGAGTCATCTACAATTGTTCTGCGTAGATCATCAAGAGAATTACGTTGTATGATAATAACTTTGGATTTCAAATGTCCCCATAAGAAGATAGATCAGGAGATCTATCTCCCTGTTAAATTCTCAACAGTGATTACACAAGTAGTGGTAATTTTTCGATAATTGTAACTAGCTGCACGTCCACTCGGGAGATTTCTGTAGCAACAATGGTGAGTGCCAATCTAGATGAAATTATAAAGACAAATTAACACTTCACATGTAATTCGGCGTGATAAAAGAATCGATGAACCAAATGTGAAGATTATTGTCGCTGTGATTTGCTACTAACAAATTTTCAGTATGATACCGAATGATATGCTAGAATCACGCATTGACATTGGTTGAAACAACGAAAACGTCACATGTTGACCTATGAAAAAAATAATCATCTAAAAACTGACGTACAGGTGCAGCAAAATGTGGAGGAGCTCCATCTTGTTGCGAGGTGAGCTGACTTTCGAGTAGATTATCATCGTCTCTGAGCGGTTGAATGATTCTGGGGTTCACAGTTGTATCAAGAAGTTCAAGATACGGGTGTCAGATGAAGTTATCATCAAAGAAATAGATGAGCCCGAACATTGATTTCTGAAGAGTTTGTGAATTATTTTTTCTGTACCATTGAGGATTTACGCACTTACCTATGCCTGTTCAAATTGAATGAGGATTAGTCAAAAAAGCACACATTGTAGAGGAAATTATTATCTCATCACGACTCATGAAAACGCTGTACGTATGTCAGGATTATCTTCATTTAATTCTTGTAGGTACAGTTTTACGAAGGCGCTGAACGGACATGGCATTTCAGTTAATTACAAGATCAATCCTACAATTGAGGCTTAATTGGCAGATTGATCTTCCATTTGAGCTAATTGCGAAATCCATCTTGCAATTGAGGCATAATTGACAGATTTATCTTGCATTTAAGCTAATCGACAGAGTATTTGTGCTACAAAAATTTGCCATAAGGAGTATAGCATCAGCTAAACTTGAAGAAACATGCAGACCACTATTCAAGAATCTTCAAAGTGATGATATTATATTCAGTTTTTGTCTACGGAAATCAATCGAATATTCGATTGAATCTGAAGAATATTTCACTCACACAGATATGCACCAATATAACATAAGAAACAAATGTGACCTTGTGCTAAAATATACTGAAAAAAACTCAGATAATATAGGCAATAAACTGTATAATACACTGCCAACTGATTTTCTAAAATTGACAATAAAGAAATTCAAGGAGTTCATGAAGCATATTGAAAACCCACTGTATTGTATTCATGAATTTTTTGTATTAGTTGTGAGGAATAGGGATGCTTTTGGAGTGTCGTGGATAACTTTGTCAATACATATTTTCTGATTGAGATACGGTATTGCATTTTGGTGATGTGTATTTGTATATTACTGATCACAAGAACAATAAAATTATTATCATCATTTCTATAACGTGCAGTATGGTTGAAGTAGCATGGCACTGGTCTTCTCTCTTGATGTTCGTTTGGAGTTTTAGCAGCATACAACCTCCAGCATGTTTCCTATAATCCTCCAATTCAAGCCATCAAGCTATCTTATGTATGTTCTTCTCGAGTATGGCACTCCGTTAGTCGACTAGCGAATGCCTGAGGTTCGTGCAAAAGGGTTTCTCAGAAAATATTCCTTTTATTATCAGATGAAACAGCTTTGTCCTTCGGCCTGATATCTTCTATTCCCATTGCTCTAATGAGCTGCTCCAACTTTCCTTATGAATTTGTTGGCTATTCCTTGAGATATCAGGAGATCCTCGGCGACGCGTGATCTACAGGAGTGGCAAAAAGGTCGCGGTTTCCTTACTTGGTAACGCCAAACCTTGCTTCTGATGAACTACTGTAAGTCCCAATGAATTCGTCGAATGTGAGCTTCTCCTCTTCCGGACATTGAACTTGTTGATGATCTTGTGTTTCTTTGAATGGTGCTAGACTGTTGAAATGAACGCCTCTTCGTTTGCCACTGAGTACTTTACTGATGCGGTAGATGTGTGGTTTTGGACAAATAACTCGTTTCCTTTGTGGTAGTACACTAGGTTTCTTCTGCGTATCCTGCTCCCCAAGCTCTAATGTCGTATCCGTCTTCGATATGCGATCGCTGGAAAATTTTCAGATGAGAACGAATCAATTCACATGGAAGTCTCATCTCTTGTCCCAATATAATCTTCGTCGGAGTATGTCCTATAGATTCTTGTACGGCAAACCTGTAGGCCATCGAAAAGAAAGAGAGATCTGGCTCCCAGTCTTGGGTTGAACAACAGCTTTGCTGATATACCTCCCTATGGGTTGGTTTGTTTCACCACTACCTGACGTCGTCACTGCAGTTCACCCAGTAGAACCGCTCACGTATTCGATGCAGTGTTTTCTTCACTCCTAGATGTCCTCCCGAAGTTCCATCATGAACATATACAAGTACTTCCGATACTCGCTTCCTAGGAATTACTAACTGTATCCGATTATTCGAGCCGTCATCGCTGTCAAGATTCCTCTCCAGCAGGTCGTCTTCTGATATCGGGGAGTTCCACTGAATTCAATATGCCTTCAAGATCAGTGAAGGTGTTGCTACTTCTTGCAAAGTAGGGCGGCGATTCGCTTTCATCCATTCACGAAGCTTTCGCAGTTCTGGGTAATTTTCTTGCTCTTGCTTGATTGCTGCAGGTAACCAGTCTTCATTGACAACGGTGGTTTTGCAGAGAGGAGCTTCCTCTTTTTCCAAGCGACTACAATGTGAGCAGTCAGTTGAACATGGCCTTCTGGGGAATATATCTGCATTTTTATGGCTTGTCCCCACTCGGTGTGCTATCTCGAAGTCATATTCCTGGAGCCTCTCGATCAAACGAGCTACTCAACCTTCAATGTTCTTGAAATTCAGGAGCTACTTCAACGCAGCGTTTAGAAGTGCTCCACTGATTTTATTATGGCCAATAGTTTCCTCCTGGTAATGCAGTAGTTTTGTTCTACCTTCGATAGCTCCTTGTGAAGTAACCTATGCCAATTTTGCTGGTATCTACAGGGTGTTTCACAGGTAAAGGGAAATATTTCAATGGTAGATAGGGGTCACCAAGGTGGTTCTGAAAATACCATATATGATAGTTCTTAAAGTTTTCATAACGGAGATACAGGGCGATTTATCGATTTCGAATAATTATTCATTCGTCTATAAGTATTGAACTACCCAGTATATTTTTCTAAAATTTGGTATGGAGCTTAAACTTGCGACGTTGAATTCATTCACCTATCGGGCGAAGAGAAAATCCAGGTTTGGCTTCAGGAAAAATTCACATTTATTCGAAATATTAAAATAACACACTGTATGTAATAATTGACAGAGTTCATCAAAGGAATCGTAAAGAGGAGGAGAAACTGAACTGAACTGGATTTGATGCTTCTTGTTTTCCCGCCACCAATTCTCATCGTAACAATCATAAACAGAAAGCTGAAAGTATGTCAATTTGAAGAGTATTGAAATTATGAAACCAGTGTCAATTATGATTATTCAATAGCTTTTAGTCAAAAAATCGCTCGAAAGAACTTAATAAGTCTCACAGTTTTTATAACGGAGATACAGGGTGAATTATCGGTTTTGAATAATCATTCACTCGTCCATAAGTATAAAACTACCCAGTAACATTGTCTCAAACATGGTATGTAGCTTACTTGGGACGATGGATTCATTAACCTATCAGGCGGAATTATAATTCGATAATTCACCCTGTATCTCTGTTATAAAGACTATGAGACTTTTCCTGAAGCTGAACCTGTATTTCCATTCTGCCTGATAGGTCAATGAATCCATCGTCCCAAGTAAGCTCAATACCAAATTTGAGAAAATATTACTGCGATGGGTATAGTTTTTTAATACTTATGGACGAGTGATAATTCACCCTGTATCTCTGTTATAAAGACTGTGAGACTAAGTAAGTTCTTTCGAACGATCATTCAACAAGAATATATCAAATAATCATAATTTTTTTTCAGTTTTTCCTCCTCTTCACGATTCCTTTGATGAACTTTGTCAATTATTACATACAGTGTGTTATTTTAATATTTCGAATAAATGTGAATTTTTCCTGAAGCCGAACCTGGAATTTCTCTTCGCCCGATATGTGATTGAATTCAACGTACCAAGTTTGAGCTCCATACAAAAATTTAGAAAAATATACTGGGTAGTTCAATACTTATAGACGAATGAATAATTATTCGAAATCGATAAATCGTCCTGTATCTCCGTTATGAAAACTCTGAGACCTATCAAATATGGTATTTTCAGAACCACCTTGGTAACCCCTATCTACCATCGACATATTTCCCTTTACCTGTGAAACACCCTGTATGTCAACAATTAGTTGTCCTTGTGGAAGCGGACACCCCAGAATCAGTGTCGTGGTCAAGCGATTCTGCAGAGCATCAAAGGCGGCCTGGCATTCTGGATCCCAGTGTAAGGAAAGTGCTTCCTTGATGAGGCGAGTTAGAGGATTTGCAATAACCGAAACCATCTGAACGTAACGTCGATAGTGAGTGCAGAGTCCAAGGAAGCTCCTGGGTTGGTGCTTATCTCTTGGTAGTGGCCATTGTTTGACTGCTCGTACCTTTCTAAGGTCGACCTTCATACCCTGGCTTCCTACGACGTGTCCCAAGTTTTTAATTCTCTCCTGCAGCAGATGACATTTCTTCAGATCAAGAGTGAGGTTTGCAGGCTGAAGTCCTGAACACAAAAGTATTTTTGAGATTATCAATTATAAGACTAGATTGTGAATTGAGAATAAGATTGTGATCTATATCGTTAGTGAGGTTCAGAATCGTAATGAACAGAACATAATTATACTTTGTATTCGAGATGTAAAAAATGGATGCACTTTCAAAAAAACTAGAAAAATCATACACTCATGCAATCAAATCGATGTATCAAATTGAAAACGTTCATTGAAGATGGTAACGAAGATACAGGGGGGTTAATTGGTTCCGGGTCCCCCAGATGGTGGGAAAGTTTCCTTCTTCTTTGACTTCGGAGAATCTCCACTAAGAAAAGTTGATGCAATGTTGAAGCAATCACTGAAACGGACCTCCAGCAATATTGCAAAGGTGAAGTTTGATAATGTAGCATTGCAGCAATATAACATGTTGCTGTGCCATTGCTGGAATGTTATAGTTACAAATCTACATTCCCAATATTGCTGAACGTCCGTCCCAGTTATTGCTTCAACCTTGCATCAACAGCTTCCAAATTTGCTTAGTAGGATTGCAGATGAAAGAAGCGATGAGTTTCGCTGAAATACACTGTATATTCTAATTTTTTTATCGCTTGGAGCGTATGAAAGGAAATTCCTATAATGTTCAAAGAGATATGTTATTGTAACTCAGACCATTATTGATATGATTCTTCTTCTAGGTTCGCGATGGATACCGATTGGACAAACCCGAACACTGCCGAAGAGAACTCTACAATATAATGTACTACTGCTGGGATAAGGACCCCAAAGAAAGACCATCGTTTTGCGAATGCGTAGAACTTTTAGAAAAATTGTTGCTGAGTGAAACTGACTACATCGAACTGGAGAGGTTTCCCGATCACTCCTACTATAACATGATGGGAATGAGCGGGGAAAAATTATGATGATTGATTATTGTGAAGTGTGAAAAGTGTATATATTTTGTATAGAAGACTGATGTACGTACTTTGTATTATTATATATGTTTTGTATCGAACAGCGAGTAAGTTGTTTTTACCTGTGTGATATTGTGATTCTCTCTTCCCAATATGTCAATGTCAAAAAAATGGTGATTTTTGAACCGAGTGCAAAACTGATTCTCCCGAACAACGTGAAAGAAGGTAGAGACCTACGTTGTTTGAAAACAGGTGATACACAATAAAACCCATGACTTTCATTTCAATCATTTCATATTGAATATATTCCGATCATATTCTATCGCTTTTGATTTTTCAGAAGTCACAAGTTACAAGTGAGTCAACAGTAGAATGAGTAGTATAGCTCTCATTCTGTAATTTGATTCCAAGCGATGATTTTGATATTAATATTCTGCGCAGAATTCAGTAGCGTATTCAAATATTTCTTTCGATGTACGGTTCCGAAGATGCGACACAAATTAACATATATATTCTTTATTGGGACAAACAATATTTCAATTTCTTTACCTCATCTCTATAATGAGGAAGGAAGTAGGAATTGGGATTTTGTTGAACTTTTGAAGGTTATAGAGGTTCTTTGAAATACCTCGAAGTTAGACTGTTTCGGCTTGCCATAAGCCTCATCAGTTGCACTAGGCCAGCTGACAATCGATTCACGGAGGGTACCTCCATATCCCACACAGCACATGTATGTCCAATGTACGTACAATGTACGTCCACGTCGGATCGTAAGGACGTCCAATGTAGGTACTCGAGTGGACGTTCAACATCCTATGGACGTCCACTGGTTGTCCTGATGACACCACTTTTGACGTACTGTGGATGTCTTCATGTGGATGTACAGTGGATGTTCATATTTGGACCCACAATGGATGTACATGGCTGAGCATCCATTGGACGTACCAAATTGGACGTTAAACGTCCAATGAAAGTCCATTGGATGTCTTGAGGACACCACTTTGGGATGCACATAATGGATGCTCATCTTTGGGAATAAAATGATGAAAAATCAGCAGGTAGCAAATATAAATTCTTCTATTGAGATATATATTTGGTGTCGATTGCATATATATAAATATATTGTTGATTCATGTCTTCTTCAGTCCACTTCAAATTCTTGTTTCTGTAAAAAAAGGAGAAATATTATAAATTGCTATATAGGTAGAAATCGATTGTCTATACCCCAAATCCTGTTCAGCTTAACTCTGAATGAAGCCTTATTTACATTGCTATATACTTAGGTACTTCTTCTATCAAGCCGCCCATTAAAAATCAATAACAACCTGTAGGATGATAAAGCATAAGATTATAACTATATTAGATAATATATCAAGTCACATTCACATGCTTTCATACCTACTTCAAATGATCTGGTCCTGAATATTCAGCATTCCACAATTCATCACAAACACAACACATCATGTTTACGGTCATTTACCGACTACCGCTACTCTACCGACTGATCTGACCTTCTGCCTTCCCTCCACGTGGCTGAAAAATCAATAATCTCACGTCCATCTCTGAACGTACAATGTACGTTCATTCAACGTCCATAAACTTTCAGATTTAAAATGATTTCATACAGACATTTACTTTGAACAATTATTTATATACATATAAATATAATGTTCATTCTTCATCCATTAACGCTTGAACTCAGAATGGCCGTTAAATGGACATCCAATGTGAGTTTAATTTGAATCATCTAGTGTACGTCCGTGTCTGTAGGTACAATGGATGTTGATCAAACGTCCACGAGAGTTTTAGTCCTTTAGTTGACATAAAATGGATGTCCAACGGACGGTAATTTTGAAACATACATTGTACATCCATCTTTATAAGTACAATGAATGTACATTCTACGTACATGCGTGGTTGGACATTAAGTAGACGCCCACTGTACATACAATTTGAAGCATCCAATGATAATCCATGTTTGTACGTACATTGAATGTCCATTCAATATCCATGGACGTTTGGAATCGAAATGAACCTAAAATGGACGTCCAATGGATGTCATGTGCTGTATGGGATATAATTTAAATCGAAGCTCTGAGGAGCAGAATGACAATCTAGCCTTCATAGCCATCTAGTGGCTTAAGTGCAAAGGTGTATAAGTGGATTCAACAATAATTCATTGCGAGTAAGTCGTGCATGAACTCCAATACGTCTATGCTTACAGAAGGACATCACCATGTACGGATTCTGTATATTATCGCAACTCCTGTCCATGATGGATAGATCGTCCTTCTGTCCCCTCAGGACTTCGATTAATGTTCAAGTATCCATTCAACATTTCTTATGATTCCTATTCACTAAGACAATAACGTATATAGATAGATAAATAAATTGTATTTCATTTGTTGAAAAGTACAGACAATAACGTATATAGATGGATAAATAAATTTTATTTCATTTGTTGAAAAGTACAGCTGTGCAATATCAAAGAATGCAACATGAAATATGTGTAAATAAATAAATAATCCAAACATTGTGAGTAAGATATAAAGAACAACACATTCTGTTGATACACACAATTATGACAAAAATAGTCAATAGTATACAGAGTGACCCATTTGAAAGCGGGCCACCCCTGTATCTCACGTAATCGTTGGGTAAGGATCATGAAATCTGCTGGAGCGAGATATATACCAAAAATGCACTCTATAACCAAGTGGGGTCATCTTCAGTGATATACACTGCTCGACAACAGCTATGGAACCACCCCAATTTCCTGAAAATGATATTAGGAGTCAAAATAGGTTGAAAATCACTTCGGATTCGGAATCAGGACGCCCAATTCACTAACTATTCATATTTTTCCTTGAAAATTTTCAGTTCTGAAACATTAAATTTTGACGCACTTTTCATGGAATATGAAGAGTTAGTGAATTGGGTGTCCTGATTCCGAATTCGAAGTGATTTTCAACCTATTTTGACTCCTAATATAATTTTCCGGAAATTGGGGTGGTTCCATGGCTGTTGGCGAGCAGTGTATATCACTGAAGATGACCCCACTTGGTCATAGAGTGCATTTTTGGTATATCTCTCGCTCCAGCAAATTTCATGATCCTTACCCAACGATTACGTGAGATACAGGGGTGGCCCGCTTTCAAATGGGTCACTCTGTAGATATTCTCATTTGTCAGGAAGATTTTCAATTTGTTGAAGATTTTGGAGCCAAGATATAGCTGATGGCTACTCTGAAATATTTGTATATTGTGCGGACCTGGAACAAGTATATTTCTTGATCTTGTTTCATACTAGTGATTCTCTCCATTTGGAGAAAAATTTTCTCTTTTCGAACGGACAAGCATGCTACGGTACCAGAATCCCTTCAGCCGGGGCCTTCTTCTATTCTAATTGTCAATATCTATAGTAGTAGTAGTAGTAGTTCATTGAAAAATAGGAAAGCCTAATATACAAACATCTCGAGCATCCATAAAACATTCAACATATCACACATATATATATGTATAAAATTCACAATAGCAATTCATAGTTATAGTTATACAAGACACATATTTGAAAACCATTAACAATAATACTAAAAACAAAAAAGAAAATTCAACATATAGTCAACAGATAACTGAACAATCAAGCTAATGATACAGAAAACTTAATACAGGTTGAGGACAATATCAAGTGAAGAAACAATTATTGAATATAGGATAATATGTTATAAACATTTCCATACAATACCCACCCGTCCAACATTCATAGAGTTTTAACAAACTTCGATAATGATGATTTGAAAGAAGATAAAGATACTGATTATTTTATATGCATAGGTAGTTTGTTGAATTCATTTAACCCTTTGGAAAATAGAGATCTCATGCTCATACTGGAATTCGTTCTGTGAATATGAAAGTCAGTCCTCATTCGTGTGCCATAGTTATGAATTTCATCATTTCTTGTTATGAATTCATTGAAATAGGAAGGAAGTAGGCCTTTCTTCAATTTGTAAATGAAGGTCATAGTCATGTAAAATAAACGAGTATTAACTCAAAACCATTGCAAAGTATCTAGCATCAGTGTAATTGGAGTATATCTATCACATTTCAGTATTAGTCTCATTCCTCTATTTTGAAGCTTTTGCAGTTGGAAAATTCGATTTTGGTTGAATAAGTAAATTACTGTTGCACAATAGTCAAAGTCAGGTTTAATAAGAGAATTGTAAATTGTCACTCTAGCAAACATGGACAGTGCTTTTGCAATTCTTGAAAAAAAGTACATTTTTTTAGAAATTTTTCTCATGACATATTCTCCATGACTATTGAATGTTAGATTATTATCTATCATAAATCCCAGGTACTTGAATTCTTCAACAATCTCCAAAGATGTATTTCCAATCACTATATCAATCGAATTCACAAGTATGTTATTATTATTTATATTTGGTTGTAACAATCATTGACTTGGTTTTAGTAACATTTAATTTAAGTTTATTTGTCTCCAGATATCTTTCAATATTGGCTAATGTGTTGTTTATTACTAATATAGCTTGGTCCAAACTGTGATTTGCACAATACACCAATGTATCATCGGCAAATGAATTGATTAAGCAATTCCCTGCAATTTGCTGAATATCATTTATATAAAGAATAAACAGAAGTGGCCCCAAGACGCTGCCTTGAGGTACTCCAATATTATTACTCAATGTAACTTGAGCCTATATTTTTGTTTTTTGACATCGATTTTCAAGATAACTTTCCATCCAATTATAAACAGAACCAGCAATTTCATAATACCTTAGTTTCTGTAATAAAACGTCCCTATCAATTGTTTCAAGTGCAAGAAGAACTGCAATAACATATTTGTTTCCATCCAAATGTTTTTTCCAATTTGATAATGTATATTGAAGAGCTGTTTCACATGAATATTTTTTCCTGAATCCCGATTGGTGCTCACTAAAGGATATTATTACTATTCAAATAGTTTATCAGCTGTGTATGAGCTGCCAATTCTATCACTTTTTCAAGAGTAGAAAAAGTATTTATGGGTCTGAATTTACTTGCATCTATGGTATTTGAAATTTTCGGTATTGGTATAATGGTACTAATTT